CATGATGCGACCAAGATGTGAGTCATGTGACCTACATGGTCAAATCAGGACAGTCACACCATAACCACTACCAGGCTCTTCGGCATATCACTGATCACAGTGAATAATCTGCGCTTTCTCTTCTGGTGTGTGTGTGTGTCACCGTGTCGGAATGCGAGTCATTGAGTATGTCAGTGTGTGTTAGCTGGGCGTGTTGTATGCTTTCTGTTATCCAAGCCACCATTCAGGCCTTACTGACGCATGCTTGCAATCTCAGCGTAATGCCAGAAGGACAACAGTGAACGCAAAGACATGGAAGAGAGTATGTCGACTTTAAAACTAAATCCGGTAACCCAGTATGCTCTTGCATTGTTCCCTAGTTCCCTTTTCTTTTGGGTGCTAGGTTGGCAAAATGGTTAGCAGCATTGACGTATCAAACATGAGTTTGTGGGTAATGGTTTGGTTCCCAAGGGTTATTTTCACCATTATAATAAGGGAGACCCATCTAGACTAGTGTACCTGCCTTCGGTTGTTGAGGAAAGGGCGGGAGGGGATCACCACCTTTACGACTATGCTGCTCGATGAAATCCAATCACGTGAATCCAGTGAGTGCGTTCGATTATGCCCGCAAATCGATTCATGAAACCATTCACGAATCAATTCTCGCTATTCACATTACCGCATGGGAATAGGGTGAATGGATTCCGAATCGATTCCAGGGCTCATAACATGAAATCGAACTGAGAGATTCCATTCATGAATCGATTCAAAGAATAAGAACTTTGCCGTCACCCAATACTGATGTCTATTGTCTTTGTCCGATTCCTTACCTGTGGTACGACCGCTGGTGAGAAAATAACCCGTTTATATCAAAAGTCAAACTATGACAATTTCGATGACGCGGATGAAGCACTTATATTATTATCATGGGATGATGTATCTTTAGCTCGATGAATCATACCTGGTTGTTTCAGCAACACATTCTGATAGCAACAGGTACACAGTTAGCACCGTGGTCCTCACTGGAAAAAATGAGCACTTTATGAGGGGGAAACTCTAGCTTAGAGTGTACGGGAATAGTCTATTAATACTTCTACAATTCCACACCAGTCATTCTACAAACAGTGGAATTGGTAAAAGCTGATTCAGTAATGGCCATACCAGTAGCACTTGCCCTGATCAGTAAGATTGAATGGAGCTTTAGGGGGAGCTGGGCTACTCCGCATGTTACCAACCAGTTGAGTGAGAGTGTCAAGACGTCATCATAAACTTGACTGAGGATGAACACGTAGAAAACCCTGGATCTCCAGTCAGGCATGCCAAACTAGGGATACAGTGACGAGTCAGACCGCTTATAGTTTTAATTTCCTCAATCCCTGCAAACATTTTCCTTGCTGCTCCGCTCCATTCTGTTTGACAGCACTACGTGTCTTTGTGCTCTCTGTTGCATGCGGATGCGTGCTTTCATGACTGGCGGGAGTGTGCGTATGCAGTATGAATGCATTGGGCATGTGTTTCTACTGTACTGTCTTGTACTGCATCTACAGGAAGCTTCACTATCGTCAGCGTCGTCGTCGTCTTCATCATTATTATTTACTTTTTTCACCCGTGACCGGAGATGTTTTGGGCTTGGGGAAATCTGTGAAAGGGTTGTCCAAAAATGACAGGTGTTCTGTTCAGCCCATGGGGGAAATAACGGGAGGGGGTGCTGCTGGTGATGACAAGCTCGGTAGGTTCCTTGACTGGCTGCAGGATATCACGCCAAAATGGCACGATATCCTGAAAATGTTGTACATAAGATACATTTTCCGGTGTCCATTGTGTGGTGGCCATTGCTTGAAATGCCTTCCATTTAGCAGCTCGCGCTTCGCCATGGCAATGAACAGGTAATCTTGATGGTGCGTGTGATGTAAACTACTGGTGACGTCATGGACAGCGATTCTCTGGGGGTTCCGGCAGTGAACGCGAATGTGTCATCGTCGTGCTGAGTATGAGTAGCTTTTCTCAGAGTCACCTGATGACGTGAGTATATGCATGAATATGTGCAACGATCAAACTTGCAAATGACCATTTAGCGACAAACCTTTCAACCATTCCAGTGATGAGGCCGCATAGCCTGCTGTAAATTTTTTTTTAATGTATATTCGAGGACGCCGATGTGATACAGTGAAGTGATAGCAATACAATAGCCTGCATCACATCTATACTTCCACTTGCCTGGTTGAATAAACGGTGTTCTTGTGCTGCATGGCCTATGTGAATGATGTATTCGCCAAATGACGAGATAGGCATAGACAGGTCTCATTCTAACATGTTGGGTATTCCTGTTCGTCTATAGTTATCTATTGGGTGTTTTTCGATTTTGCTTTTCCGCCAGCTGAATATATTTGTTTTGCCCTGTTCATCTGCTTTCCCAGGGACAACGGTGGAGGAGGGGATCGGCTACGGTGGAGGGATCGGCTACCATAAACCCTAAGTATCCCTGTGTTGTTTGCTGCATGCATCACTTCCTCTCCCCATTTCGACAGGCGGTCAGTTGCATGCCATCACTTCTTTCACTCTCCTCCACATCTTGACAATTTCCACATATAGCTTGACGCTTTGGTATCAGTCTTCCACTCTTGACTGTCCCACTATCCCATACATGACATTTTACCATGCCTGCTCCCATACTGAATAAATTTGCACCATACTTTCAATCTGTACACGCTGAATAAGATGCTTTCAATAGATTTCAAAATTTGCCAGGAAATTGAAATCCAGAGGCAAGCAATTCCGAGCACTTTGAGGAATTGGAACTAAAGACCTATCTCCGCAACTAAATGGGAAGGGGAAGTGATTCAATAGCTAGGCAATTATTTCATGCTACCACACCATTCATGCACGTTCATCAAATTTATGTATAGCTCTGTCGTCTAACAATTCTCTTTGTTGTGCTTCCCTTTAGTCCAGGACCATCAAGACGCTCATCGCAAGCGATCAAGACGGCGGGCAGCGCTATCAAATCCGTGGACGTCGTCGGGACGCGGTCTAAGTATCCCTGTGTTGTGCATGGTTTATCTAGTCATTGCGCAATCCTGCAGAGAATTGTTTGCCCCGTACGTATCCAGGACCTACTTGCATGTCCAGGGCTGACTTTCTGTGCAGTGCATGCCTTCTCCACCCCGGGGTAGCTTTGCATGGAGAACCTGCATGCCTAACATCGTCTCTGCAGATTTCTTATGCATTTGGTTGTGCATGCTTGATGTGTTCCCTGGTGCATGTACTGGGTGGGCAGGTAGCTAGGGGACATGTAGTCGTAGTACAGGCTCATCCTGTGTTGTTTTATGCTGTGTGATTCTCCTCCTCAGCCCAGGTCAAGCGCCGGCCGGGAGGACGTGGTGATGGGCATCGGCACCGTGCAAGGTAATTACTATAATTGTCTTGTGCAATGAGTCGTGTACTGCAGCAGTCGTTATATCGGGTTCTCTTCCAGTGAGATTTCGCCACAGCGTGTAGTGTGCAACTGCGTCCTATGTGCAATGTCTCATGAAAAGTTGGCGATTTTCATAGCCATTAGGTTTTGTTACAATAGCTGGCCATGATAACAGAGCATCGGCTCGACCCATCACTATTGAATAGTTCAGACAAATCGTTGCGCACGGAATTTCGACTCCTATTGTAGCATGAAGTTCACAAACGTGTTGAATTGGCGATTAGGATACAGTGTCGTAGGTGTGTGCTGGTTGGTGAGACGGCTGTTTAGCCTCGAGGGCGATGTACTTCTGGTTGCTGGTTCTGGTTGTGTTTGTCTCCGTTCCTCTATGCCCTCTGCGCTCAGGCCGCGTGATGAAGCCAAGTCAAGGAGCCGCCAAGCTTGTCATCACCAGCAGGCGACCCCATTCCTCGGGATTTATTATTTCCTCATGGGCCGTGTGGGCTAGAACAGAACACCTGTCACCCTGGGAGGGGAAGGGGTTGCGTTGTGCCACATTTTGTCTGTTCATTCTATGTTACTGTGCACTATACTCTCTGCTTTGTATGTTGTGCATTATGCCATGTAACATGGTGCTTGGATGGCTGTTGTCTGGTGTGCTCCGGAATGTGAACCATCAGGATTGCCACTTGAAAACCCACAGCTCAATTCCACCAGGATTCAGCAGGAATTGTGCTCGGCGCTGAGCTGTGGTTTTTACTGGTCATCCTGAAGGATTTCATTCCGCCTGGGTTTCTGATCTCGATGATCATCAGAATAATCATGGCCCATATCATCATTCATACCATTTATTCATTGCAATCAGAATCTCATACACCTCAGGGGGGGGGGGGGCATGTATCAGAATGTAGTGCTACTAGTGGTGGAGACAGGCATGCATATACGAGGATCAAATGAATCACGATGAATAATGCATGAAGGGGAGCTGCAGTGTACACGGTACACATTTTGCATGTGCTACGTCACCATTGTACTTCATGTACATCACATGTGCACAGTCAATGGTCACCTGGGGAGGGGGCTGGAATACGGTGACCCCGGATTGCACCAATGGTGCCCGATTCCTGTATTATCCATACTGGCCCTAGCCCTTTTGCGTGGACATGCAATGTACATGTATACCGGGTGGCCGAATGGTGTTTCTATCAGACTACGGTATGCCTATGGAGTATGGGGCAAGCAGATACATGATCTACCGGTACATCATGACGGGGTAGATCCACCCTCGGAAATGCCTGATCGACCAGTCCTATCCCGGCAGTCCGGCCGCAGAGCTACAGCCTCAGTCATGCAGGGTCGACTTCCGTCATGGCTAAGGAGTACTAGTAGTAGTAAAATACCGATTTTATGGTTATGACATGACATCATTGACATGTGCAGTTTTAGCCAGTATACTGTCTGTGCATGTAGTAAGTTGTGATGATGACGAACCGGATCAGTCCGAATCTGACTCACGTGTGATTTTCAGGCAGAGCGCAAAAATGCTGAGGTCCTGTGATAATGATATCGTGAGGATGACTGAAATGAACTGTGTTGACTGTTAACTGTTGTTGTTGTTGTTGTAGACATCGAGTTTCATGATTTCACAATCACAGTCTTTTATTTTACCCAAGCTGCTAGAACTAGAAGTGTCCAAATCCTCAGTTCAGGTCTTGGCTGTTGCAGAGTTAGTTGCAGCAGTCCATCCAGTCCTGCACTCAGGCTGCATAGCAGGGAGTGTGGCATTTTGAGCCGACCCGGCTGGAGAAGATCTACGTCTTTTGTAGTCAAGCACAGCACCTCCTAATATACACTTGGGAGCGAGGACTGGGCTACCTTTTGAGAGAAACGCTGCATGCAAGAGAGCTAGATCCGTTGGCGTTTGCAGGTCCGTGCATCTCTTTCGTGACCGGACGCAATGGCGGAGATTAGCGCACGTAGTCGGATCCGCGGATCGCTGCTTGGTCTAGCGTGCGGCGATTCTGTCGGTGAGTGGGCTTGACTACAATACGTTGCTCAGTGCAAATTGATTCCTCTGGCTGACTGCTAAGTGACATTCTTTAAAAATCAATACTCACCAGTGAAGTCAGTACTTACTACTTGCACAATGTAAGTATGTCAGACAAGATTAAATGACATAGCCAGCCAAAGCATGATTTGTTAGTTCCGGAATCATTAATTTTGTAAAATTTTAAATACATAATGTTTGGTACAGCAGCAGTATGTGTGTGAAGCTTCTCCCGTGCCAGGGCCCAGGGTGTGCCTGTACTATACTACTGTTGTGGACATGGAAATCCGGTCGCACGTCTAGCGGCCCCAGGGCGCTTGTCATGCAGCCGTGGATAAGCGGTACACACATGCATTTTATGCGCTGCAGCGCGCTAGTCGCATCGGATCAACATGTGCCCTGCACGCAGCGTTCTGTACGCGCTGAGGGCGCCGGCCCCGGTCAATTGACCGGATTTCTATGTCCACGACAGTAACACCATAGTCCATGGCTGTACAGTATTAGTGTGGCGACACGGTCTGTGCATACGCGGCGGCAATGCGTGCTCAGCTAGCCATGACCCAGTTACATAATATATATATGATCTTCACAGGGTGGTAGAAGCAGCCACTCCTCTGGTAATAGGGAGAAAGCGGGTCTTCTGCTCCACTGAAATTCCAAAAGCGGCCTTCAGAAAATCGTCAGAGCTGCTCCTGCAAAAGTACCAAGTGCTTCTATATATGGATTGGCTGTGTCCTATTTGTTGGCGTACGGTGTGCATACAATACTGATATCATCATTATTACATGCACATCTGCCATAAACTGCATTAGCCATTCTAATGAGACACATGGGTTCCCCGAACTGTAGACATCGTGATCTACTTTGATATCTGGCGGCAAGTCTACCCTTGCTCACGCAGGAAGCGGTGTTGCATGCGACCGGGCTACGCAGGAGAAGCGCATCCACTCCACGTATGAAAGCAATCGCATTCCTTCAGTCAGCAAGTTCTCGTCGTTTGGAGACGATGCTGAGAACCTGCGTTTATCTTTTCCGGGGACTAATGTTACACACAACATGTGTGCGTATATCCGTCCATGTGTGCGTGCTTATGTGTGTGTGTGTGTGTGTGTGTGTGTGTGTGTGTGTGTCTGTGTGTGTCTGTGTATACCTGTCTGTTTTGTTCATGCTCGTGTCTGTACATATTTGAATGCATGTTTGTGTATGCAATGTTGTGCGTATGCTCGCTCGCTCTCTGTTGCATCACACACGCACACAGGCACTGCCGTGGAGTTCAGCAAACCTGGCTCGTTTGAACCGTTGACAGACATGATTGGTGGTGGAGCATTCAAGCTGGAACCAGGCCAGGTAACATTAGTTATTTGTTTAGTCAATGGTTATACAATCGTCGCCAAAATCCCGGCCTATATGGCCAATGCCGATAAAGTGGTGTGGTAGGCAGACACGGTGGTGCCACATGGTAGCATGCATGTTGTTACCAGTGTTTGCTGTAGATCTACCACTGCACTGCACTGACCATGCAGCTATGTACATGTAGTTATGTACAGTGGTAGTCCATGTGTTACACGGCCATGTACATGTACAGCATTGGCCAGATTTTGTTGGCGACGATTGTACAACCCAGCTGTAGATGTTTGTTGCTTTAAAAAGAAGTGCAGCACAGCAGGCAGGCGGTTGGCATGACGGCGTTTCTTGTCTAAATCCGTATATCAGTTTTGTGTGGATCCATACACATTGGAAACCGTCTTCTGTGAACAGCAGAGGATGGGCAACACATCGGCCAGTAATGAGTGGAGCCGGTAGTGGCCATGTGCCTTGATTACAGTACTGGCCGTGCAACACAGGAACTAATTCTGTTAGGTTTTCATTACTCGATAACTGAATTAACTAAGAATTCTCGAAAATGTCCAATTCATTCACAGAAGGTCAGAACGAACCAATGTGTACTGAACTAGAAAGGTGTTTGGCAAAACGAAGCAAACAACTTGCACCTTACATACTTCTGAGGCAGTTTGCTGCCACCTTTCTTGTCAGGAGTGACAGTAGTATCAGCTGGTATGTTAAAAGGCCAAGCAGCCAGTGTGTAGAAGTACAATGACCACTCAGCACTAACAGTTAACAGCGCAGTCTTCTGTACAGTCACACACTCCAGGCACTGTATTACGCACCTGCAATTTTAAAAGCCAGCCAGTGTTATCAGTCCTGGAGATGTCCTAGATAGGACATCACGGAACCCAGCATGCCCCAGCATACATACTATGCTGTTCCCATAGTAATCGTGACACGTGACTCAAAACTTTGTGTCGCGGCCGAGGAAGATGAACATGTTACACTCAAAACAAACGCAACGAAGGCCTTTCGTCTCAAAAGCAATTAGTTGTCGTTCTCCTGGCGGCTTGCCTCAAGCGAGTCGAGATTCGTATCTTGCCTTCACGAATTTTATTTTCCTCGTTGTGGAGTACGCCTGGACAAAGGAACTGGCAAGCGAATCGTTTTGGTCGCATTGAAAATTGCAAGTGCACAAGAGGATTGGCGAAGCAATTTGTGTTCGCACTTTCAGCAGAGCAGTAGCTGCTGCTGCGATAAAGTTTTTACTTTCGCCATTGGTTTCAGGCAGCAGAAGGATCTGGCTGAAAGCGATGGCGATACGTCCATGACCACCACGTCCTGGGTTGATATCCAAGAAAGACCGTCCAAGGTCCAGATTTAGCTAAGAGCTGTCGTGTCCAAGAAATCAAAAACGCCAACAGCAAGCTTTGGCCAAATAATATCTTCCAGGTAGTGATTTACGGGCCTAGCGCCTGCTGCCTCGTCTTCCTCCTAGGCTAGATCCTCTGCATGGCCAGGTTTGGGGCGAAATGAACGCACGGGGCGTGAAGAAACATTCCGAAAGGACCAAAGGCAAAACATTTAATTAGAACCAATCGTTTCCGAAGAAGCGCCGCGTGGCTACGAGAAACCCCACATGAAATCCCCAAACGAAAACGGCCATTCGGTCGGGTATTCGATGACGAATCGAATATACACTACCTCAATCCCCGCCGATGTCTGATATTCTCCGCCTATTCCTTCAAACTTGACCAATTCGGAAAGAAATCCATCGCCATTACGATTGTGCATCCTCCACATGCATTCAGAAATGCTCACGCAGCACTTCTTTTCTCGCGTGTGCGAGACCGACGCTTCCATGACAACTCTGGGACAGGTAACCAATCAGGCTCATTCAGAGTGCGATGTCCTAGATAGGACATCTCCCCGACTGGTTATGCGAGCATAAAAAAACACCTCACTGCGCTGATACTCTTTACCTAATGTAACAAGTGGTATTCTTACTGCTGAGCTAGAGCTGTGTTAATGTCTTTAAACCGGCACCTCTCACTCTCTCCATCATACTCTCTTGTGTAAAACAAGTCACGGGTGTTTCGCAGTGGCCACTCGTCAAGATGGCGGCAAATCCGAGAGTACAAAAATTTCGACTCTGCCTATGTGCGTGGCGGATGCGAATCTCGCACGTGCATGCAAAATCTAGCCTTCTGCAGAGCTACAAAGAAGCTGGGAAGAGCAAGTGTGTGTAGCCAGCGTAGGAACGAACGACGACCTTTTCCGAGAGAGAATGTGGCTCTTTTCATCCCAACATTTTACTCGCCACGCTCTCCCTCCCAGCTTATTGATACGAGTATGTGCTACCGAGTAGAAGTCTCCATCTTCAGAGTAGGCCAGGCAGAATCGCAAGGTAGAAATACTTGCTCACTTGGTTTTTTTGGTCCAGTTTGAGGTGTTGATGTGATCGTTGTGTACAACTCGAAGTGACAAACTTGAGACCCCCGCGCCACAAAAAACTAAGGCGCGCCACAAAATTTCGTTTGGCTGTTCAATGAAAGGATGTATGGAAGCAGGGATAAAAACTATCGTGGCTGCCGGCAAAACTCCTAGTAATGTAATAAACGGGGGTGTGACTTTGGTAATTCCAAGGAGAATGTACGCACGGCCATTCCACAACGAAGACGAACTACGAGCTCAAAAACACTCCGATTTTCAAACAAACGACGCAGGAACGAAGACATGGCCACAGTGTTCCCGTGTGGCCTTCAAAACACCTAATTTTACTTCGATATAGCGGCTGGTTCAGGGCAAATTCAGGCCCAATTCGACAGCGTCGTACCGCTCAGATTCGCCCAAAACACGAGGACATGTACGGTAGATCCAAATGCATACGCATTTTGCGTACGGGGACGACTGGCCAGAGTTCATGCACTGCAAACACCCGTGAAGTGATAGGCTGCTGAAGGCGCTAATTCTCTTCACACGTTGCAGCCGGTGCATATCGTTTGATTGTTTTGACTATCTTTGCTTCATTCCCATGTGTTTACTGATGAGAATGGGTCAGAAACCTTTTGGAGAATGACTTGGTGGTTGACTGAGTAATGGAACAAATTACGTTTTAAAAGTGCTTGTCTCCTAAATCTCCTTTCAAATACTAGCTGTTCTGTGACTTTCTGGCTCTATATGGATGATGTTGTAATGGAGTTGTAGACCCAATACACCACACAGTACTGCCCTTGGGTGATAGACCAACTAAACCTGATACCTGATACCCGCTGCAATGGAATTTTCCCCTGTACGTTGGTGTCGTCCTGGAGTGATGCTGCGGAGTGATCCAATTAGTGATTAGTTCAGCACTGGCAGCCAGTGATCTCTCTGCGCATCATGCATGTGTCACGGTAGTACGCTCTGCCCCTGTTAGGATATTGAGCTCTATTTTGCAGCAAGGACCTCGGACACTTTGTCAGTGCTAATTGATTAGTTTGTTCACCATCCAAGGGCAGTAGCCTATGTGGGGCTTAAGCCAGCCATGGCACTGATGCTATAGCAATGCCTGGAACGACACCATTGTTTCATGTATTGCGATTTCCAACCTGGATATTCAGGGTTGTAAGTTGTAACTCTACTTTGCTGTCATTTTTGCTCAGTGCTGTTGCTGATGATACTGCTGTGTGTGTGTGTGTGTGTGTGTGTGTGTGTCTGTTTCTGTGCTCAGTGGACGGACGACACGAGCATGGCACTGTGTCTCGCTGAGAGTCTGATTGAGAAGGGTAGACTCGACCTGTGTGATCAGCTGAGACGCTACATTGATTGGTATGAGGTAAGGGAGCTCTAGCTTGTACTGTGCCAACCTCTCTGCTTCACTCTCACGTAGATTGTTTAGTCTGAACTGTGTGTGAGGAATCTGAGGATTGAATCAAAAGAGGGAGTATGAGTGTGAGAAAGAGAGAGAGAGAGAGAGAGAGTTAGAGTGTGTGTGTGTGTGTGTGTGTGTGTGTACGTGTGTACGTGTGTGCGTGTGTTTCTTTTCTCTGCCAGCTACTTCGGTTGGTGGGTACACTTATGCCTGATTGTGTTGGGTCTGTTGCCAACGGGCTTGGCTGCTTGAAAGTGTACTGTTGTACCTTCCATCTTTGTTGGTTCCAGGGTTCATATACTTTCTATTTGAAGTATAAATACCTGTTAACCATGGACTGCTTCTGGCTAGATTAACTCTTGTGTAATCAACCCCTGAGGATCTTACACAATTGTCTATGGGCAGATGTGTGTGTGTGTGTGTGTGTGTGTGTGTGTGTGTGTGTGTGTGTGTGTGTGTGTATGTATGTATGTTTGGGAGGGGGCACATAGGAGTTTTTGTGCTTTTGTTCATGCCTGCTCGTTGTGTGGTGTTTTATTCTGCAGAATGGTCATTTAGGCAGTACCGGGGTGTGCTTTGACATCGGCATGACCACTCGCAATGCCCTCATGAAGTTCCGCAGGGACCAGGTCAATCCCATTGTCGGAGCACAGGCCGAGAAAGCTGCAGGTAGGCGAGCCACTTTTCATGTCAGCCGCACTGAGTCAGAGACTCATGCTCTGTGCATCATGACCGAAGTGTGATGCGAACGTGTTGGTTGCTTGGAATTATTTAAAGTCGTACTACAAACAGGCATATATGCCTCCTTATATGAAGACGACTTCTGGCAGTAAGACATTTAAAAAAGAAAAAGAGAAAAAAAGAAAGGATACGATCAAGAATGTATAGACTGAGCATATAGCTAGCCGGAGACTGAACATACAGCTAGCCTCGGCATGTATCAGAACGTGTGAAATACCATTCCCATTGCATCAAATCCAGAGCGTGACGATGTCGAGACCAGTTGGTCGACGCCTGGCCCCCACCACCATGGCTGCTGCATGTTCCCATTGCGTGTACCACATGGCTTTTAGTAAATAAAAAAATGTGTTGTGTGTGGGGAGGGGGTACGACATCATGGTGTTCGCATAGTTAGGTAAAGTATGTGCAAATCTGCTGCATCATCTGTATCATGCCTGTCATGATTGTCTGAAGCTATTGTCTGTGTTGTGGGTGACTTCACTCTTTAGGACTATTGACTGCCTTTTCATACAATACCTTTTGATGTCTAGAGACATACTGTCTAGCCTTCCCCTAGCGCGCTTATTGATACACTATCCAGCTGTCCAGCAGCTCTCCTTCCACGGCTCTCTATCTCGCTATACTCTTCTTCACACTCTATAAGTTCGTGTCTTCTTTACAATAAAATCAGTTCAGTGACTGACGAGTTCGAGATCACAGCAAAATCTAGCCGCTAGTCACAGTGCATTTTGAATGTGAGACCGTCCGTGCCTGGCAAAGTGGTTGGTAGTAGCAGGCTGGTCGCTGGTCATGGTGGTCTTTAGTTACAGGTTTTACTGTAGTACCAGGCTGGTCGCTGGTCATGGTGGTCTTTAGTTACAGGTTTTACTGTAGTACCAGGCTGGTCGCTGGTCATGGTGGTCTTTAGTTACAGGTTTTACTGTAGTACCAGGCTGGTCGCTGGTCATGGTGGTCTTTAGTTACAGGTTTTACTCTACATGAACATGATAATATTATGTTGCTTTGTTGTTGTTTTTTTTTTCGTTGCTCTCATTGACGTCAGGCAATGGTTCCCTAATGAGGCTGTGCGCTGCACCTCTGGCATTCTGGAAACAACCACGTGCAGCCATGGAAGCGGCTGTGTGGTCTTCGAAAACTACACACGGCGCTCCTCAGTGTTTGGATGCTTGCAGGTGAGCTGATTGTGCGTGCACACACACATGTTTGTGTATGTGTGTGTTGCATAGGTGGTGGTATGGGGGGGGGGGGGCATGTGTGTTTGATTGGATGTACAACCATTACACGTGCAAGAATATTTGTGCAACGCAAAGTGTTGTATGTTGGATGCTTGCAGGTGAGCTGCTTGTGGGCACACACACACACACATGTGCGTACCTGTGTTTGTTGCGTTGGCGGGGGTGTGTGTGGGGGGGGGGGGGGGGGGGGGAGGGTATGTGTGTTTGATTGGATGTACAACCATCATGCGTACAGGTCTACGTGTACAGAGTCTTGTATTTCATTACACGTGCACATATCTGTGCATGCGTGCGCTCACTAATCCATACATACTGACATACGCACGTGCATACTGTGTCACACATATCGTAGTATGCACATGCCCATCTGCCTTTATGCGCAAGAAGGGTTTTTTCTGAAGTGTGTTGTGTTAGTAGTGGAGGATTATGTGAGTTGGTGCTGGTACATGGTTTATTCCTTACTCTTTTCTTTCTATCTTTTTCTTTTCTTTCCCTTGTCATTTAATCACTGTCACTCACATACAAATACCGTCATAAAATATAAAACACAAGATTTTCTCATCTTTTTCTATTTCTTGTTTTTCATTAGCTTTAGCATGTTCATTCACATTCTTCATCATTTGTGAGAACTAGACCTGGTCTAGTGAGAAGGCATTCTACTGCCTGTAATTCTGGTGAAGTAAAATAAAGTAACAACAACAACAACAACAACAACAACATGGACCATGGTGTAGTGAAATACAGACCTCACTCCGATTGAATGGTATTGCATCATAGAGTGACTAGCATACACAGCTTCCTGTTCTGGAATATGTACTTCAGTATACTCCATGCAAGCTAGTTCTGCACGAGTACCTACACTGCAAGTGCTTTATATCACTCCTTGCCCTGGTTGTTCTCTGTATAACCAAAAGTACGTATCCCCCCAGAGTGTGCATCTCCTGATCCAGCTCTGAATAGCGTCTTGGTGGAGCGTAATCGGATCTTTTTGTCATGATACCGTACACATCTGAGATTACCCGGGGAGTCGCGCGGACTCTCAGATCAAAAACAACGGTGCCCTGCCTCGAGACCGGCCTTGCGCTGGCGAGGAGCGTATGCATGATATCAGAGGATCCAACTACGCTCGACCAAGACCTTATGCCTGACACGCATACTAGTCCGGCATGTGTACTAAAGCCAGATCTCTGGCACTTCCCCATCAAAATGTACTGGGGAGGGGATTGGTCGGAGCCAGTCACGGCGGAAGCAGTCACTCATCTCCTGTCGGTTTGCGAATTGATGTCGATCGTTTGTTTGCATTGTCTTTTGTTGCTCAGGTACTTTGCTGGGCTGTTGGTTGGTTGCATGAATGGTGTTTCGAAAGAAGAGCTCCTCTCGTCCATGTACAGTCCATTTGGAGTTGGGTTCTGGGATACCTTGGACCAGCCACTGGTGAGTTAAACTGCCATTTTCAACGCTGTTCTAATGGCATGGGGGTTGTCTCCTTTCTAGCATCATTTCAGACTGCACAACACCTTTGTGATCTTGCCACTATAGAGCATATTACTTTGTAAAGATTATGATCTGATCTCGATGTGAGAGTATGATGCTCTTCTCCTACCAGGATGTCGCCGCCAAGTTGAGTGGTTGATCGATGTTCCTTTGCCATTAATTCTTATATGTTGTTTGTATGGGTGCGTGTTTGTGTGTGTATGTGTGTGTGTGTGTGTGTGTGTGTGTGTGTGTGTGTGTGTGTGTGTGTGTGTGTGTGTGTATGTGTGTGTTGGTGGGTGTGCATCAACCTGCACTTGCGCTTGCACTCTGCATAACCTTCAGCACAAAGAGATCAGAGAGGTGATGGAAGGCTCGTTTCGTGTTCGTGAGCCACCAGAAATTGTTGGAGCTGGATACGTAGTGAAGACTCTAGAGGCAGCCCTCTGGGCATTCCACCATACCGATAACTTCCGAGATGGATGTCTGAAAGTGAGCACTTCATAGGAAGCTCTCTTATTGCTTTTCTCTCTCTCTCTCTCTCTCTCTCTCTCTCTCTCTCTCTCTTTCTCTCTTTCTTTCTCTCTCTCTCTCTCTCTCTCTCTCTCTCTCTCTCTCTCTCTCTCTCTCTCTCTCTCTCTCTCTCTCTCTCTCTCTCTCTCTCTCTCTCTCTCTCTCTCTCTCTCTCTCTCTCTCTCTCTCTCTCTTTCTCTCTCTCTCTCTCTCTCCGAATTCTCTCGCTCACCTTTCTCTCTCATTGTTTGTCAGCTCATACATGCGTCCATTCTGAATCCCTATAGCATATGTGCTCCCTACTGAGGGTACATTTGACCATCTAAGGCTGTTTGACCAAAGACCCAGGGCCACATTGTGTGTGTGTGTGTGTGTGTGTGTGTGTGTGTGTGTGTGTGTGTGTGTGTGTGTGTGTGTGCGTGTGTGTGTGTGTGTATGTTCATGATCATTCTGTTCAGGTAGCCAACCTTGGCCATGATGCTGACACAACAGCTGCGGTGTACGGTCAAATAGCCGGTGCCTACTATGGAGAAGACGGTATTCCCCAGGGATGGAGGGAGAAGGTATGTGTATACTGTGCAGGAGGGTATTCCGGCAATTCCCAGGGTTGGAGGGAAAAAGTACGTGTATACTGTGCAAGAGGGTATTCCCCAGGGATGGAGGGGGAAAGTACATATATACTGTACACCTGCTCATAGCAGTATAAAGGCATGCCCGTGACTATTGAAGACACGAAAAGATGAAGCCAGTTGTAAACCTGATGAGGCCTTTCGTACCGTTACTTCTCAAATCAGTGCATGGTGATCATGTGACGAAGCACAACGATGAGAATAATGGGACGAGAGGCTTCGTCAGGCTTACAGCTGGCTTTGTCTCTTCCAGTGCTAATAATGTTTCCCTCCGACTATGTCCTTATTTAAATATTGAAGAGTTGTTCTATTGCAGAGGCAGTAGGCTTAGGTTCTGCGAAAGTGCTCAATACCTGATTCAGCCAGAGCGGCGTACACAAAGGCACACAATGAAAATCTTGGAAAATTCCGTTGTAACTCAGAGTTTCCGACACACGATGCCTGTCCCTGCATACACTCACGCGATTACTCCTCCCGCTATCGTATTATCACACCTCTCTCCACTTAGATATACAGTCCGTATTGCCTATAAGGTTGGCGGCTATAGTAATAATTATATCCGGTATATTATACCGGATATAGTGATTAATTTCTCAAATTCATTTTCATTTGCCATAACTAAGTATACAAAGTTATCGCGTATAGTAATAATCGTCTATAGTAATATATCGCCTATAGTGATCAAATTCTTATTTCAAAAGACCTTTATTACATTATTTTTGCATCGGTTATAGTGATTGATGTAAAATCAAGCGATGTTAGAGGAGAACAGGGTGTTACTTCTTCGTGAAGAACTTGTCCAGTGAGTGTTGTTTGGTGAGTTTTGCTCGTACAAGTTGCCAAAATATGCCTCCATCGTGAGGAAATGCTGATTTTGTGTGTCAGGAGCTACAGCCAGCTACATGACATTGTACATGTATGTAGTGCGTATGTGCACGGCGCTGAGTCGTTTGACACCCCACTCGCATACATTGCATGTAGTATCGGTCATAGCAATATATCGCTTATAGTGATAAAATGCTCAAAATCAAGCACCAACGCTATAGGCGATACTGACTGTACCAGCGCCGCCTCCTATTCCACTATCGTTGTCTGATGATTGGTTCAGCCGTTAAACTCTGAGTCACAGCGGGTTTTGCCAAGGTTTTCATTGTGTGCCTTTGAGTTGCTCTATTAGAAAGATAGCAACATAATTTCAACTTGGCTTCTACACTCATGGGCCCCTGTGCGTATGTGACCAGTTTTTGTCAGTTCCTGAGCACTTCTGGAGCCTGGGCTATTTTGCTTTGTGACTTTTTCTGTTTTCCTGCCAACTTATTCAGGGGCGTCGGAAGGTATTTTAGTGTGGTACAGTCAGCCATCTGAAGTACAATTATCTGCTCGTGTGGGAGGGAAGGCTGAGCCGAAAATGTTGGAAATTTAGAGCCCAGATGACGGTGTATTTTAGTGATTCACGGGGCAAGTGGTACGGTCAATACCGTAGTGACCATACCGTGTCCGACGCCCCCTGTTATTCTTTTCCTGAGCTAACGTACCTTCACTGATGTGTTGTGCCCAGTGCTGCCTCGCTCCTCTGATCTGCATGATGTCTGATGAGCTGGATGAGATGTCGCAACATTACGCAACAGCATCGCTAGAGGGTATGGCGGAGACTGGCAACGTAGGAAGCATGGATGATGCATCGTCAACACCACAATATACTGGTAAACAACCTATGTAATCATGTGCAGGGTTCTAGCCAGGTAAAAATAGTAGGGGTGGGGGCGCGGAGGGGAGGGGGGGGGGGCGCAGGGGAAACAGTTACCCTCTAACACATTGTTACGTTTTCTAAAAGTGTCTTGCCAGGCCAAATGCAACGTTCTGGGGCGTTGCGACTTTGCCCCACACGAATGTGCCGTTGTGAACCCTGCCGTTGTGACTAGAGACTGCATTTTCGTGGAATGGAATGAAAGGACACAGAAATCGACAAATGAGTAGGGGGGGGGGGGGGGCGCTCAATCAGAGTAGGGGGGGGGGGGGCTCAATCAGACTAAGGGGGGGGGGGAGGGGAGTGCTCAATCAGAGTAGGGGGGGGGGGCTGCCCCCCCCCCCCCCCTCTTTGACTAGAACCCTGATATGTAGGTTTGTCCCTCCAGGGCTGGAGCCACTGGTACGGCTGGTACAGCCATTGTCGTACATGTACATGTAGTTGTTTTTACCAATTTCAGCCGTGTCATGGAATGTCCAGTGTGGGCTGTGTGCTATTAATTACATGGGAGTACTGATAAGCTAATCCTCCTACACTTCTCACTAGGGTCTCTCCTTTCTAAACTGTTCTTCGCGTGCAGTAAGGACATCTGTGCTAGGTGTATATCTGATGCTGGTGGAATACATAGCTAAAGCAACCGGATACAGGTCCCCCCTCGTTAGTAGATAATCTCTGGGCCATCAAAATAAAAATTTGGCACGGAGAAATGATCGGGCTCTGTAGCCGAGCTGGCTCCGGGCCTGCTGTCTCTGTCTCTGGCTGTCTGCTAATCTCGTCGAGCCTACCATTTTCACGGCTATTTTTCGACATCTCCATTCTTGCCAGTGACGTCATTGCTATAGATGCTGAAATGTCGGGTCTGGCTGACTCGCACATGACCTGTGACTTCTATTTATCATGTTAGACTTGTGAGCTTTGCTGATCCAGACAATGTGCTACTGTCTGCCTCTGTGTTTGCTGTATCCTGTGCTCTTGATGCAGCTGGACAGGATTATTGGAATTTGAAGATCATGGGATTTGACAAGATGGAGGAAGACTTAGCATTGTTTGTGCGCAGAATGCAGCCATCTCCGAAGGCTTTTAAAAGGTATATGTTCTCGCAGTCATTACTAGTGGTGACAGAAGGAATATTCTGAAGTAGTATCCGTGTCCGTGATACTCCCTGGGGGGTCAGTGACTGCATGCCAGCCGGATCACCATATGAATTGCGGCAGAGGTCTCTGTCATTGAATGGATTTGAACATCACCTCCAGCCCGTTGTGCGTAGGCAAACGACAGATCTTGCATGCACCATTCCCTAACCTCACCCTCTACACCCTGCGTCTCATTGAAACGTTGTTTCTTCAGCCCAATGGGTCTTTTATGATCATTCTTACGGTAGAAATTGTGTGTGTGTGTGTGTGTGTGTGTGTGTGTGTGTGTGTGTGTGTACGTATGAAAAATAGGGATTCACTGGCCAGAAAAGGTCACTTCAAACAGCTGTGTGGTGGATACCAGGCTAAAAATAGTGGCGGTCAATTCATCAGCCTTGCAAGCTGTTGAATGGTGTAATCCCAGCACAAGTTGCTATGCCTAACATAGCTGTTCGCTATCATCGCTTCCGCGATGGGCATGTCTGAGGTCTGAGGTGTACGTGTGTGTGTGGGGGGGGGGGGGGGGGCGTGTGTGGATCCCGGGACCGACAACCTGATGCCGTCAAGCCTTTTTCTGCACCTTGTCCTCACCCACTTTCTGCGGTTTGGTGAGCCCATAAGTGGAGTCATATTTTCAAGTCCACCTGTAGGTTGGACATACGGCATCAGACTGGGTGGGATGCAGGAATTATCTGCGGTGCGCCTGTTTTCAATGTTGTAGAGATCGTCACTGAGAAGCATACCCGGTTTGGGGGGGGGGGGGGTGGATAGACTGCGCATGGTCACGAGATGCAGTGTCATTAATCCTCCGACTTCTTGTTGCTGCTGTCCCTCTGTGTACTGGTGCACTGCAGTCTTGAAGAAGCACTGGAAGGCAAGAAGACATTCATGGATAGTTACGAGAGCTTGGACAAGGAATATTGCAGCGTGGCAATTCGTGATTCAATGGTTCAGATCATGGATGGCTGGATCAGCAAAGAATCCAATCGCCTGCAGGCTTCAAGACGGCTGTAAATACGGACGCCGATTTTCTCAGACTAGCTTAGCCGTTGCTGTCCGGGACTGGTTGTGTAATGTGTGCGTGCCAAGACAACAGGACCTGTATAATATGGGAAGAGTTTGTTTGCACGGCGTGTTCTAGTGCATAAGGCATGGAAGGGATGACGGTTGATGCACTTACCGTGCCTACCATGCATGAGCGCCAGATGATGAGTGATACAGTTCAGATGCACACCAGGAACTACGCCTTGCGTTGACAACATGGATGTACGAAGCATCTGTGGATCGGCACTATATGGCAGTGCATGAGATAAACTGCATAGGCTTTAGGAAGATTTCTGTACATCGTTATATTGTCAAGTGATTTAAAATACTATAGGATTGATTTGTGCCAGTTTGTGACTGTTTCTGGTGCTCAGAGTTCGTGAGTTGTTGAATTTTCTGTGTGTTTTGGTGGTGGTGCTGGTGGGGGGGGGGGGGGGGGTGCGTGCATGCGTGCGTGTGCATTCGTGCCTGTGTGTGTGTGTGTGTGTGTGTGTGTGTGTGTGTGTGTGTGTGTGTGTGTGTGTGTGTGTGTGTGTGTGTGTGTGTGTGTGTGTGTGTGGTGGATACCAGGCTAAAAATAGTGGCGGTCAATTCATCAGCCTGGCAAGCTGTTGAATGGTGTAATCCCAGCACAAGTTGCTACGTCTAACATAGCTGTTCGCTATCATCGCTTCCGCGATGGGCAGGTCTGAGGTGTGTGTGTGTGTGTGTGCGTGTGTGTGTGTGTGTGTGTGTGTGTGTGTGTGTGTGTATGCAGTTGTAGTTGTACGACTCAGTTGTGCTTTTGGGAGCTCTGACAAGGAGGATGTAGCTGCCTTCAGCAGCCAAGCGCCGTGTGGTGTAGACCAGGCCATGGATGTGGCAGCCCGTCTCAGTGAATTTGCGGTTCACTGGGAGTTTTTTGACACGCGATAGCACAAGCACTGAAGCAGGTGATGCAGTAAGGTCCAAAGGTCTACGCAGGTACGTGTGTGTAGAGCAGCCACATAGGCTGTTTGGTAGAGAAGTGACCAGTTGCCACGGAACTTGGCTGCTTGATGTCGTTTTGTAAAAGCGGGAATCGTTGGTATTTCCCCAAATGAACGGTTCGGTAGCGCGGAAATTTCGGTAAACCAGTTTCCAGATCCAAAAATGCATTGTGCACACTGTGCGGCATGGCATAGTTGATTTTTAGGTCGCGTTCCATTTTAGGTAAACGTTACGTGTGCCAAAATTACCGAAAATAAATCACCGAAGTGTTCCGGTTTAGCAGTATTGTTTTTTCCACCTGAGGCCTGCCCTTGCTGCTATCCGGATGCATGATTAAACTGTATTTCACCGAATGTTTAAAGTTGCACCCGTTTACTCTAAACTTGAAGGGTAACAGGGGGGGGGAATCGAAATTGACCGTGACTTTCTATGAATATTTGGATACATGCCCCCAATCTGCGGACAGAATGGTTTCGTCCTTTATGGACTCATCAGCGCAGCACAGAGAAAAGGGATACTTGTACATGTACCTGTTAGAGGATGGCGACCGTGGTTGTATCTGGGTAGATCAAATTTAATCTTGTGCAAGCCATGGTCACGATTAGGCTATTGTTTGTCAGATCCGCTTTGATCTCAGAGAAGCTCTGGAATATGTCAACATGGTCAATGCTTACGTCTACTGAAGTATGATGCCACGGTGGCTACTGTAGTGCCCTCAGTCTATACCTGCACCTCAGTCCCAAATGTTTTGAGGGATGTCACGTGTGTGTGTGTGTGTGTGTGTGTGTGTGCGAGCGTCTGCTTCCTCTCTCCCGCTCTTTGCGGACGTGTTTGTTTGTCTCTACTTCTGATCGGCATGGTGGAAGACCAAGCTGATTTCAATCATGCATAGTTGTTTATGAGCATTCTTTAGGTAGCTCTAAAATGTACAATCATCATGTATTCAGTTCTGTCAGTCCTAGCCCCTTTTCTATGCATGAAAGGATTGCGTCTAAATTCTCTTCTCTAAACCTTTAGCATGTACTTGGCTATCTACCGGGGGGGGGGGGGGGAGGTACAATGTAGATTGATCAATGCTCCGAGGCCATAAGAATTACACGGTGATGTACTTGTATTTTATGCATGGTTTGCAGGCAAAGGTATTGTTCCTTGTTGGTTTGCATTACTGAATATCATAATCAGCAGGAGTCTTAGCACCATAGATTTTTTTTAAACAGCTGCAAAATTGACTTGAATAGAAGTACACTTTGGGGGTGATAGAAAATATATAATTGATTAAAATTCGTGAATATAGATTTTCTTCAAAACAAAAGTTCAAGGCAACATTTTCTAGTGCTGGAGTGATCTCTCCATCAATATACAAGATCATGTGTAGCATGTAGAAAGTTTATGAGAGCAAGCACCAGCACCATTTTCTGCATCAGGACAAGGTGCACTTGCAGCTACTGGCATGTACGTTTCGTAGTGTGACCATTGTCAGCGTATCCTGATCGTGCTCAGGATGTACTGCGCAGTTCCTGAAGTGACGATATCGAACAGGTCTACAGCCCACGGACTCCGCAATTGTATTGCCTGCACCGGATGCCTTCTGCTCAAGCATTTGCCTGTAGTCATGGAAGTATGCAATGTGTCCAGGCGTCTTGGGGTTAATTTGTACTGGGTGGGATAGCGGGTAATTCGTACAAGAGTTAGGTTTACAACGATGTAGCACAAGATTCTGGTCTAGGTAATATATGTGTGTGATATTGTCACGTTTGACACTGATCTGCACTTCATTGGTGAACAGAAACAACGAGCCATCATCTATGGAGCGTGTTGGACGACACTCGTTGCCTTCGTCGCCACTGTCTTGGGAGTCAGCAGTCTGGTTATCAGTTTCTGTCGCAGAGCGGCGATGTCTGCGTTGCTGTTGTTTCCTATGACGTTGTCTGGCTTCTTCGCCTGTGAATGACGGGGTTACCTTGACTGATGCATCTGATTTACTCGAAGACCTCTGTGCCACTGTCAGTACTGGGCCTTTGGACAGAGATGTAGTAATACGAAATCCTCCATAGCTGGTACTGGGATCGAGGGACATAGTGAGATACTGTGCTTTGTTTGTCTTCGTATTGCTGCTGCCATCGTCCTTGCGGTGCAGCATATAGGCCATGATTGTTGTTACTTTTATATCTAGCCAGAATGCCTTGCAATCACCTCTGCTATTGCCATTCCGAGCGACTTGCGCTGGAGATGGGGGTGAGATCTGCTCTTCACTTCCAGTTACGGGTCTAAGAAGAAATGTGACGTTGCTGGAATTCTCTCTCTGGAGAACAGGATGAAATATGGGACGAGGGGCATTGGACGTTGTGGTGCAAACTGCTTCTGAAGTGGGCTCCATGTGTATATGCAACCTTGCATCCAATAGAGGGGATGAGTTGGCAAAGTGATCAGGTGATATCTTGAATGACACTGTACACGGAAACAGACAGTACACCGAACCCGGTATTAGTCGCAGTGGAACTAGGGCGTGCAGTGAGCAGTAAAACGACATGCTTCAGATCAGGGGGAAGGCCGATGCTCGGGCTTGGATCTATGTCTCGTACACAGCTGCCACTGTCTAGTTAGTTCCTGTGACCGCACCAGTTTGGCGGTGCACTTCTCAGATACTTTAATCAATTAAAGAGCGCAACACACAAAATTGGTTGCACAGTGGTTATACAATGTTAGAACATTTCTTTCTTTTAAAGTGATAGTTGAAGGCTGAAATCCAACTGATCTAAGGCATTGAACAAGAACATACCAAGGTCTACGTGGGAAGCTCTGGCTTTGTAGGCAATTACGACGTATAGAGCTAGTGGAAATAGGTTCGCAAGTCAACTGAGAACTTCTCAATGACAGTCGACTTCGTGAGTCCTCTGACGCTGAGCATTGTGCAGCCCCAAACTTGCAAACCCTGGGCTGTGCACTCGTGGTGAAGTTTGAGGCGCTAACATATTCTTCGGGTCGTATTATACCTGACACATTTTTAGGGTGAGGAATACAATGTGCATTTTAACCATTTTAAATTCACTTAGAATATATGTTTTTATCGGTGACATGCTTACCTCGGTGAGATGTTTGAGCAGCAGCGGGCGACGCATTGACGAGTCGCACACCACAAAGGGCAGTCAGACGGATCTTGTCAGCTTGTCCGGCGTACCTCTCCTGACTAGCGAGCCGCTGGAGAAATCGCCGGCAAGAGCTCCTACGACTACGATGGATACGGCCCTCGAACCCGGGAAGCATGCTCAGTGATGTCACGAAGAATACCAAAACACAAAGCACGTGCTTTGTTGACTTTGAAGAAGAGATGTTCATGGCTGGAATATTTGTATCTGATTGCGTAAAGACAGGAAGAAAGAAGCAAAGCAAGGAAGACTGATTCTCGTCTGTGCTGTTCTGTTCTGAGATCACTCACACTTTTATACGAACTAAAGACACCACAGCAACGACAAGTTGGAGGTGGTCAAAGCTGGGTAAAGAAATGAGAGCCTCAAACTCATGTTAGACAAGGTGAATTGAAAGCATCTTTGCTTGAACACAGGAACAGCCCAACAGCGCCAGTTAGTGATGGTCAACACCAGCGAACACTCATAGCTTGATATCAGTCGGCACAGTGCAACTCCTGCTGCAGTACGCATCGCACATGGCAAGAAAGAAAGGTCAAGAACATTAGATCTCTTTTCCCTTGCAAGCTCCCCCTCCGATGCCATGTGTTGTGTTGAACAACCATGGTATGATTGAAGCTGAACACTTCGCAGAAATCGGCCACAGTCTTTCCACCGAATCGAGTATATATTCACGTTTTCCGGCTCGTGGAGGTTATCGAAGAGTATTTTCTTTCGTGGCCAATTTCGCACAGGCATCAGGTGCACATTCGCAGCTTGGTGCTTTGAACCTGTATTGGTACCGCGTTGGGAACTCGGTATAAATGCTTCAAAGCTGGTCGAAGCCTCAAGACCTGGCCATATATCGGACTATAGCGCAAGTTCAACAAAGGCAGGGAGACCATCACGCTACATGTATGTGCACGCAGATTGTCAGAACGAAAATGAGCAGGAATTATTGTTAACGCCTGGAGAGGAAATTGTACAATTCAATGTGGCACATTGTTACTGCTTGCGCTATTTTTGGCACATTGTCCCATTCCTGGTGCACATGCCACGTCAACAATGGTACAATCATACCACGATGCGTGTCAGTACTGTACGGTATATGCATGTACTTGTGTTGGTATGGATCTACATGACTTGTAGTCAGGTTTTGAGTGGAATTCGTACCTCTCCGACACGACGCGAGGAATTTCCTGGACAATTGCCCATATCACCCCAGTATCAGTAGATGCAGAGATCAAGCCATGGGCGCGGTGGCCGCATGCAGATCTACTCTTCAGCGAGCGCTGCTTCCAGGTCAAACGTGGTCCTACCGGAAGATGTGTGCTCTTCGCGCTGGACTTAGACGGGTTGAGGGCATTGATGGTGATCCTGGCACGGACTGGGTGGGGGTGTCAGCATGTCCTCCGTGCACTTGAGAGCGTGGAGTGAACCAATTAAAAGTGAACCACTGTCGTATGTAGGGAGAAGCGTTGCTCGACGATCTATGATATTGATAAGGCATGGTAGTGGTCGTGGGCAGTACTGAGTACAATCATACAGTCATGTACTTAGTGTGTTGGCAGCCTACATGTATGTTCAATACATACAACGTGGGCCGAGCCTTCCGACCACCCTCATAGGCCTGAAGGATCAAGGCGAAGATGTAGCTCCTGCACTTACATGTACAGATCAATGTTGAGGTTTTACTAGGAGTTCGTAAAGCGAAAGCGAACCGCTGATCGGCACCTGTAATTATTTGACTTGCATCCCTAGTCGCAGTCCCTCGCCGCATCCCTACTTCGAATTCTAATGTGTTGCAGAGTTCATCATCCCGAGTCCGGCACGGCATCAAGCCGTTATGCAAACTATGATTATGGCTGTGTCCTCCGCCTTATGATGCATTGAACACACACGGAAACACAATAGCGAGAATTTCCAGATTGCGTACAGTGCTCAAAACCACAAGGACAACCGGCTAGATCATTGCTGTAATGCTGCGTTTCATGCATATAGCAAAACTAAGGAAACCCTCAGACAACTGATAATCTGTACATCATCTGGCTACAAACTCACTACAATGTATATCCAGGCAAGCAGGGTAGTGTCGTTAGTGAGATATGGCGCGGATGGTGTCAATTTACCAGTACATCGCAACATGAGAGGTGAAAAGAAGGAAGAGAAGGAGTCATTACTGCGACTTGACTGTCACCTCTCCTTCTCCTCCTTCTTTGCACCTCTCATGTTAATTAACACCATCCTCACCCTATCTCATTAGTCACACTATTCTACTTGCCTGGGTATAGGTTTGTAAAACAGAGAGGTTCCAGGCGGCAAATCTAGTTCAAACGATGATAAGAGGACGAAAAAAAGGTTTTTACTCCGACTTTCACGCACTAGGCGATAATCAGATAACAGTATAAATGAGTAAATCTGGATCTGTACTGGTTTTCCACAAAGCAAAGTGTAAATGACTGCCTCATGGCATAAATGTAAATGACTGCCTCAATGACTGAGGCAGTCACTGTAAATGACTGCCTCATGGCACAAATGTAAATGACTGCCTCAATGACTGCCTCAATGACTGAGGCAGTCACTGTAAATGACTGCCTCATGGCACAAATGTAAAAAGTGCGAATGGCAGCAGTGCAAAGTGGCGCAATGGCGCAAATCTAAAATATGCGAATGACAGCAGTGGTAAAAGATATCGAACTGGAGCTAGTTGTCTCCTACTTGGTCAGGTAATGGCTGTGGATGGTTTGCAGTTCCGAAGTTAGTACTTACATGTACATGTATTTGTTCAGGCCTCTTTTACGGGCAAATTAACACAATGGTTTAAAATGCAATAAATCATACACTGGAGAAGAAATCAGAAAAAAATGCTTGTGTAACATAAAGAATTTCAAATCCAAACCAAAAAAAACTTCAAATCAATTTTTTTATACGTACATGTATTCTCGAGTGCGGATTCGTACCTCAGCAAACTTTACGCTTCGCACTCTCATTGGCTCGGCAACATCCTTACTTCTAAACCGTAACCGTTTATTGCTGTGAACAGTGACACAGTCACATCACTGGTGCTGAGTCACTTGAAGAGAATAACTACAATTGTAAGTGCCACTGCCAAAGTTCTATTGTTCTTTTGTTGTAGGGCTGGACCATTCCGGGCACATGCGATTCCTACGCGCATAATAGTCTTTATGAGTGGATTGCACACTTCCAAGGACAAGGTGCTTGAAAACGTCACGATGTCAGGTCGTTGTAGATAGACTGCGTGACCATTTACATGTACATATGCTCACACCATACATTTTAAATGTACTATGATTTTATTACATGTACATGTATACCCAAGCTGCCCCATTGCTTGATCTCTGCGTTTCAAAACGGATTGATGCCGATCTTCCGAAATGCAATTCGTCAGGAACGGCTGCACAGGGAAACACAATCATGTGCATGAATACGTCAATATACATTGTATTGCTGCATCTTTGCACGCGTAGACATGCATGTACGAAATACAAGTGACCAGTGTGCGCACATGTACACACGGAATGGAGATTTCAAGGCAAACAATTGCGCCTGAAATACTGTGCCAGGTTGTGGCCAGTTTGATTGGTGGCTGCACATTCCTCTTTTCATGATGGACAGTGCAACTGCAGCGAGTGGTTTGTTTTCACGATGAGCAGCATGGCCAACTGTAACGCAATTGTTGTTGCGCCCATCGTGCCCATGTGGTGTCAACCCACTATGGCTGCTTGTTGTTAGACCAATATCTGCGTGCCTACAATGGTTGAAGTAACCGATCGGCATCGAGCTCATGATACCGTGTCCCTAGACATTTCTCGATAATCTTCACGAGCCAGAAAGTAAGATTATACTGGATTCGGTGGAAGGCCAGTGGGCATTGTCTGCGAAGTCTTCAATTTCACATACAGTACATGCGCGTGTACATAGAAAACGGTGGTTGAAGACAACACGTGGCATCCGAGGGAGCATGCAAAGGAAAATAGATCTAATTGTCTTGACCTTTCCTTCTTGCCATGTGTAATACACTTTGTCCTTGTCTATGGTTTTGATCGTCACGGTTGGCCTCGACATTGCTTCTCCCATTAGCCTGTAAGGCGTTCCACCAAAGATGCTTTCAATTCTTTCAATTCTCCTTGTCCCAATTGAGTTTCAGGTTCTCCTGCCCATCCTTCTATGTTATCCAGTTTTTTGTCTTGTTTGTTGCGTCTTGGGCGTGTACCTATAAAAGGGCGAGTGATCTCAGAGCAGAACAACGAAGACGAAAATCCTTGGTGTGCTTCTTTCTTCCTGCCGTTTGTAATAATTCTTATTCAACTACAGCATTTTAACCATGATTGCGGTCTCAAAGCTAACACGGCACGTGCTGTGTTCAGTCGTGATCGTTGTGTTGTTGTCCGCCCTGTTGCCACACTTTGAGGCACACGCCAACCGTAGTCGTAGGAGATCATGTCGACGATTTCTGCAGCGGCTCCAGCATCAAATGGACTCCTCCGGCCAGGCTCGCGAGGTCCGTCTTACTGCACTTTGCGGCATGCAGCCTCTCAATGTCGCCTCGTCTCAACAATCTCAACAAGGTAAATCATCTCGTGACATAAAATAACCGTTTATAATTGTCCGCAAACGCAGCCACTTACACATTCTTCTTCTCTTCAACTTCAAAAAACCGGTCTCTTGCTTGTGAATATCTTCAAATACTAAAGCATTGCCCATAGGCATATGTTACTTTTAGGTCAATTGTATGTTCTCCATGGTCAGCCAAATCCACCCCCAGACATCTGATGTCTGACAGACGGTTCTTGTGCGTATCCATGTACATGTATATGTATCTGACTAAGAGAATCGTGGGAATCCTTTGATCTGACCCTAGAATGTGTGCAATCCGATAATTATTCAATGCCAAAGGAATACTGTGTGGCCTGATCCAGTTTTGTGTACTGCCTGTGTCCGTGCACAGCGTCATTCAGAATATCTCCTGATCACTTTGCCAACTCGTCACCTCTATTGGAGGCTAGGTTGCATATACACATGGAGCCCACTTCAGCAGCAACTTGCACCAGAACGTCCAACGCCCCTCGTCCCATATTTCATCCTGTTCTCCAGAGAGAGAATTCGAGCAACGTCACATTTCTTCTTAGACCCGTAACTGGAAGTGAAGAGCAGATCTCAACCCAATCTCCAGTGCAAGTCGCTCAGAATGGCAATAGCAGAGGTGATTGCAAAGCATTCTGGCTAGATATAAAAGTAACAACAATCATGGCCTATATGCTGCACCGCAAGGACGATGGCAGCAGCAATACGAAGACCAACAAAGCACAGTATCTCACAATGTCCCTCGATCCCAGTACCAGCTATGGAGGATTTCGTATCACTACATTTCTGTCCAAAGGCCCAGTACTGACAGTGGCACAGAGGTGTTCGAGTAAATCAGATGCATCAGTCAAGGTAGCCCCGTCATTCACAGGCGAAGAAGCCAGACAGCGCCATAGGAAACAACAGCTACGCAGACATCGCCGCTCTCCGACAGAAGCTGATGACCAGACTGCTGACTCCCATGCGAGTGGCGATGAAGAAAACGAGTGTCGTCCAACACGCTCCATAGATGATGGCTCGTTGTTTCTGTTCACCAATGAAGTGCAGATCAATATCAATCGTGACAATATCACACACATATATTACCTAGACCAAAATCTGGTGGTACATCGTTGTAAACCTAACTCTTGTACAAATTATCCGCTATCCCACCCAGTACAAATTAATCCAAAGACCCCTGAAGACATTGCATACTTCCACGACTACAG